TATTATGCAGAGTGCTCGAAGAACGTTAGCTTTTTTGCTCAGAAATCCACATTTAAATTATAAAAAAAAAAAATCAAAATACATAAAGATTCTACCAAATATTTTCTTTCATAGGGCCGTTAACTTTTTTCTAGGTTTTATTTTTCCATGTTCTTTAGCGCTAAAAAATATCGCCTAATGAAAAAAAGCTAAAAACATACCGTAACTTTTAAAATAAGTAATACAATACAGACATTTTTTTCCGTGCATTACCACCAACCCGTTCTCATTTTGGGTAACATAACTAATACATTCTCATTATAAGTCTTTACTCTTTTTGGCTAGCACTGTTTTAAAGCAACAGAGCTCTGAAACAAACATCATTCTAAAAAATCATTCAATGTTTATCAGGGTTGGTATATGTCACGTTATTTACGATGCCATTGTATTACTGGATTATCCATCCAGCATACGTAAATATTTACATAATTTAAAGAAATTAATATTTTTTCTGTTCAATACTGACTGGCGGCCGCTGTGATGTATTGGTTAGCAGTGCGCGCTACCACTCCGCATGGCTTGGGTTCAAGCCCGGTTCAACCCACATCAAAAAAAATAAATAAATAAAATAAACAAAAAAAATATTTACTAATAGCGGTGAGAATAAATTCGTATGTATTACATTGGCTTAACGTGCTGTTATTTGTTGGCTTCCAGCAGTGAGAATGCCGTCAGCGCGATACATAATTTTTATTTTTTTCTGTTTTTGGTTTTTCTTAATTACGAAAAAGCCTCTGTGAAGTGCAGAAGCAAGTCAAACGACGAAGAAAATTGATTCAAGTTGAACATTTGAAGGCAGATTTACATAGCGGCTCTAGCTGAGTGTACAGAGATGCTTGCTGTTATTTGCATATCCGAATTATGAAAAAGCATCCGTGCAGAACAAAAACACATTCATACGAAAAAATCGAAAACCAAAAGTTTGGTTAATGTAAACAAAAGCGTTGTTAATATTACCAAATCATTGTTGAAAACATCAACCAAGGCATTGTTAAAATTAACCAAAAATCACACTAATATTAACCAATTTTTGGTTGATTTTTTTGCTCAGTGTACGATGCAATGTCAAAAACCCACAATTATCGGCCATAGTTCCTAGGCCGAAAAAAAGTTAACCCATGCATATCGAATTTCGCAACAAAAAATTCGAATGCACCATACAGGGGGGTAAGAAATATGAGCTTCAAAAATTAAAAATGTGTGACTCTTATTATATGAATCGTTTAGGAGTTATATATGATCCAAGTTATGAGCCAGCGCCTTGTGCAAATATAAAAACAATAAATTTTCGAAATTTATATCTAAATTTGTTTATACAGAAACTGAAAATAATTAGAAAACAAAAATAAACAAAATTTAGCTGCTGCTATTAAATGCATGTTGGAATGTATATGTATATGCACGTAGGTATGTGTATATGCTATTTGAAAGAAATTTTTGGTGAATGCCTTTGCAAATATAGTGCGTTCAATAAGACTCAAAGAACAATCTAAAATAAGAACCCGATTAGAGCCTCAAAAAGAGTCTGAACTGATTCATACATACATATATGTATGTATGAGGCTAAAAATGGTTTTAAAAGAGTCCAAAACGAGCCGTATATTTGGCCAATAAGAGTCCGTCCAATATGACTCATATTGAGGGTCATTTGATGTATGAATTTAAGCTCATGTAAGCCGATCTTCGGAGGAAGATAAATACCCTCATATCGGACTCTAAAATGTGCCCATTATGAGCGTAAAGACTCCGAAATAGGACTCCTTAAAGACTAATTTATGACTCCAAATGTTTGCTGGATTGTAACCTTTTCACATACATATGTAAATACACTAAAAACAAGTGAGTAATAAATGCTCATTACTGATTACCGTATGATTTCATAAATGAAGCTCCACAAATTAGCGCTAGTACTGAGTTTAAAAACTCAGCCAAGCTATAATTTGAGCTTAAGGTAATTACTGTGTGGATAAAGCATAAAAAGTGTGTATGCTTTATTTGATTGAACTTTTATATGCTTCATTAAAACTGAACCTACATTTGGTAGATCAATTTTAGTTAAATAAAAAAAATAATAGTTTTAGCATGTTGGCCACTAAAAGTAATTAACAGACATGCTGTTAAATTTGTTATTGCACTTATGCGAAATAAAGTACGAGAAAAAACAATGGTTTTATACACGACAAATCACAGAGATTCCTTGATATAAAATCTAAATTTTTTTATTTTTTTATTAATTTATTGTTATGGATCAATTTCCTTATACATTCTGTATTAAATAAGTAATAAGTAAATAAAGTACAAAAATTTTAAAATATTCTGCTAATTGCTTTGGTTGCTGATCATTACTGACTGAAGTAACTCCGTTGTTTCTTTAGTCCACCTCCAATTGCCGAAAAGAGCCTTCAGTACCCTGTAATACGCTAGTGTCCGCAATGAGATCCTTCACTTGCTTTAGACGTTCGTAACCTTCAGCTATGCCATATTGTTCTTCTTCTTCTTCAAAAAATTTTTTGTAATCATTCAATTTTTGCCACCACTCAGCTTGTAGAGTCTGCAGATCACAGTCGCCGCCATATTCTTTCGGAAGCACATGTTTCGGCACGTATTTGTAGAGTTCCTCGAGATTGTTACCGTGCACATAGAACTGCGTGGAAGAAAGTAGAATATTAAAAAATTTATTTTTAT